CAGTGTTATTTACTTGGCAGTCAATGGGACAGTCACAAGCCTCCCGGTTTTCATCCAAAATATCTTAAATTGTGTTCCCGAAGACGAATTAAGCTTTTATGGGTTTGGAACGACATGGGGGTAAGTGATTAATGACAACATTTTCATTTTGGGGTGGAGTAACCCTTTAGTAACCAAACAGATTCGGTTCCCATTAACTTTCATTGTATTTTTTTGTAGACAAAAAAAAATAAATAAATAAAATGGAATTGAAAGGTAACCAAAAGTGTTTGCTTACCAACATTCTTCAAAATAATTTTCATGATCCACTGAATAAAGAATTGCATGCAGGTTTAGAACAGCATAAGGTTTTTTTCCCCAACTATATTTTTCCCTAAACCAGTTAAGCGCAATTCCTGCCCCACCCGATTTTAACTCAATCACACAATCACCAGTCAAAAATGGATGGATCTTATTTATCAGGATGTGCCACAAATGCTATATTGATGTTAAAGGGATAGTTGACCCAAAAATGAAAATTCTGTCATTAATTACTCACCCTCATGTCGTTCCAAACCCGTAAAACCATTGTTCATCTTCGGAACACAAATTAAGATATTTCTGATGAAATCCCACAGCTTTCTGACCCTCCATAGACAGTAACGGAACTACCGCATTCAAGGCCCAGAAACGTAGTAAGGACATTGTTCAAATAGTCCATGTGACATCAGTTGTTCAACCATAATTTTATGAAGCTACGAGAATGCTTTTTTCCGCAAAGAAAACACAAATAATTACTTTATTTAATAATTTAGTCTCTTCCATGTCAGTCGACGCACGTTAACAACAGTACCACGACGCACGTGTGTTACATGGACTTTTATCGATGTTCTTACTACGTTTCTGGGCCTTGAATGCGGTAGTTCCGTTACTGTCTATGGAGGGTCAGAAAGCTGTGGGATTTCATCAAAAATATCTTAATTTGTGTCCCGAAGATCAACAAAGGTCTTACGGGTTTGGAACGACATGATGGTGAGTAATTAATTACAGAATTTTAATTTTTGGGTGACCTATCCCTTTAAAGTTAGGGTTAAGGGTTAGTATTTGTTTCAGCATTATTTAGGCAATGAGCACTGTGATTGACATGACCAATGAAGTCTTTAGAATCCATTGCGGGGCAAGGTTTGTGCTTAACTGGGAAAACATTATTATTATTTTTAGCTGCAAGCATGAACAAATTAGCCAAAATATACTACAAAAAAGTATATATTGTTTAAATAGTTAATTATAGTTAATATTTGCAAACAAGGTTAAGGAAAAAAAACTATATACAGTACATTAATAGTTTATAATATAACAGTTTAGAAATATAAACTGAATAATAGTAGAACTAGTCTTATGCAACAATGCTTCTAAAATAAATTCATCTTGTTTGAAAGATTTTTCAAAAGGCAAACAATACAAAAATACTGATAAAATTTTTTTGAGGTGTGCAGAACTTTGTTAACGATGGGGTTCAAATTCTGCAGAAATCTGGAGAATCTGCTCATAGAGCACAATGCAAACAGCATCTCGGACCTGCACTCCAAATGTTCCCAGAACAATGCTGCAGAAGATAGGGTTCCCAAAGATGCCGTCAAACACGTTCCTTTCGCCGTGAATCTTGCGAGCGTTGATCTCGTTGAAGAGCTGCATCAGGACGAAGGTGTTGAAGATGATGGTGTAGTGTTCAGATGGGGGTGAGTGTAAGGGGGCGTAACGGCCGTTGTCGATGTTGAAGATTTTCTCTCCTTGTTAGGATGAAAGAGAATACAAAATTAAACGGTTCTCAAAAGTTTTAAAGGTGCACTCAGCATGCACTAATTTTTTCCCCTTTAGATCAGTTGCTTATGCTAGTATTGCTCTCACTCTCAGAACATCTGCTAAATGAATATTTAAGTATATGCCACTTATCGGAGACTATTATGTTAAGTCTGAATTGTAAGCTGCTACACTATTATTATTCATCTTATAAATACTGCAAAATAACACATATTGATCCTTGAACTCTCTGTCCTACCGGCAAACAGCAGGGTGAAGATGATGACGAGCTGATAGACTCCATGACCCAGGATGTTCTTCATCATTGTGAGCGAGATGAGGGGGTTGTTGCGCCCGTAGGGTTTCCTAAGCAGCAGAGCTTCGGTGGGCGGCTCAGTGGCAAGAGCCAAAGAGGCAAATGTGTCCATGATCAGATTGACCCACAACATCTGTACTGCTTTTAGTGGAGAGTCCTACACACAAACACACAGAGATTGCAGATGAAGGTACTGAATTACGCTCTTGGCCAGTGAAGTGTGTGCAGTACCACCAGTCTCCAGCAGGAGGCTCAGTGGCTGGTTTAATTATAGCTTCCTTCCTTTTGCTATGAGCTTGAGAGGTGCAATGCAGTCAATTCTCCTAACCTGCATGACACAGAGCTATCAGCGATCTAGAGTGGCCATCTCTCACTTACCGCAACGCTACAGGCTAAGACAAACGGCACTCATCTGAGGAGTAGATTTGGGGGGACGCAATGTTTGCAGTGAGTGAAATTCCCTTGCCCTCCCTAGTCTCAGCCTCAGACGTCATGCCCACTGGCTGGCTAAACGTCTGACGCATATGGCACACAAAAGTGGAAACACTTCAGGCATTTCGAAGTCATCATCGGATTGGTTGAATATACAGGATTTCCGGGAGACGTGTGTGTCGCGTTCTTTAACGTTCCGCCTGGAAACAAAGATGCCGTGACGCCAAACCCACTCACGAAAGAAGAAAGCCATCGTGTTTACAACTGAGACAATGAGCGCTTTGTTGTTTGACATGTCGGTCAAACGGCCTCATGGGCGGGCCTTGGCCAATGAAAGCTGCCATGGATTCCAGACCTTCAGCCATCAGCTGAAGGTCTGGCTACGCGAGACTAGCCCTCCCTTATCAGTTGTTTCAAATCATTTGCATTTGTAAATGAAGTATTAAATGCTAAAGGAGCTCTAAGCAATAACAAGTCATGCAGGAGAACTTCTAAAGGAATATTCCAGGTTCAATACGAGATCGGTAAAATAATCCATGTGACATCAGGGGTTCAACCGTCATTTTACAAAGCTACGAGAACATGGAAGCTACGCAAACAGCGTATGCTATTCTGTGTCAGCTGCGCCACGCGGATACATTGTTTTCGTTCAAATCAAAGAGTAAACAACGTAGAAAATGCATGGTGCGTGGCGCAGCTGACACAGAATAGCATACGCTGTTTGCGTTCAGTGGATACTCTCCAA